ACTGCAAAGAAACTAGCAGAAGGATATACACACACAACCACCAGTCTCATTAGATACATATATATTTATATATACATATATTAGACATAGATCGTACTCACCCACCATGGTTCCCGCGTCGGAGCTCTGTCCGGAGAAGCCTCTAGACTGGAACATCAGTAAGATGGTCACTATGAAGCCATAGAACCAACTGTTACGTGCTTGATGTTAAGAAGGGATGATACCGTAACATTTAGGTGGGACAGCTGTTAATGGGTGTGGTGCGCGACCCCTAGAGGACGCAGTTCAAAGTTCCCATGAAAGGGAACAAATATTACATTCAAGTTAAATAATTTTGATAATTATGTATTATTCCAATGAACGTAATAATAATAACTTTCCTTTTCTTGTACATATTTTTATTATTCTGGGAAAATTTCACATACATAAGAAGGTCAGGGTCCAAGCCAAATTTCATCCATTTTCTTCAGGAGACTTAAGGACTACTGCACCAGTTTGGAGAACATTGTTAATAAAAAAGCAAACAAGACTTGTAATATTTTTCTACAGTTGTTGATTACTGAATAATTAGTTTGTGTACTCTTGTACATTACTGTTGTATATTTTGTTCTGGTTAATTTTTTTTTAAAAAGAAGAACTTCGGTCTGCGCAGCATGAAGTCGAACACACCTATTGGTACCACAACATGATCGCTGTACCACCTGACCACTGCAGATTCATTTTGCAGTTGATAGTGTTGCCATAGAAACTCATAATCCTCTCGTAATTAGGCTACATTAATTATTATGGCATGGCGTGAACGCAGCATTCAGATCATCCAACCCCAATCAAACACACCTGAACAAGCTAATCAAGGCATTCCAGATTACAAGAAAACTACAGCCAGGTGAGTTTGATCACGGTTGGAATTTACCTGATCTCCTTGGATCTTTAAAACCCCATTTTACAGAGGTTGATATTGCAGCAACATGTATTTGTTTTAGTTTTGTGTGCGTCGCTGTCCATTCCTCCTGACGCACCAATTCAGCACATTATCCAGCAGAGATCGTTGTGAGATCGAAGTCGGGAGGATGACAGCTCGAGTGTATTTTCTCGTTGATTGCCATTTTATCGTGTCTGTTCGGATACTTGAGCATGACTCAGGCTATTCAAAGACGAACCACAGGTGAGAAGATCTGTTGTCTTCATTACACAGCCTGTAGAAATCAGTGACTCTCAGTCGTTGAAAGTAATTAACACAGTTTAGGAATGAGTAGTAGGTTTTAAAACACTTGATTTTGAAGCAGAGAAATATGTAAAATTTGTATTTAGGTTTGAGACACATTCTGAAACCCGTGGTTTACAAATGCTGAATCCGCTAATGGATTCCCCTAATGATCTTCTTGAATCCTCTAGTGAATGGTTTCTGTCCGGCGAGGCTGACGGTCGTGCCGTCCCGTCGAGGATGTTCTTCTGATAAAGACTGCCCTGGAGGACACAAATGCTGTCGATTTGACTGTGGGCCTGTTTGCGTGCTGCCTGTTTTCAGTGAGTTTCAGTTAATAATGGATGCTGTGGTCCAAAAAAAGAGATGCACACGATTAACACATTGTATTCAATGTAAGTTTTAAGCAGAGACTTTGCCTTTTGTTGTTCTCGTCTAAAGTAGGTTTGAATTCATCCCTTAGGATAGTTTTAAGCACTGATTGGCTTTCCAAAATAAAGAGGAATAATACTTGGAATATAATTCACTCTGTAGGTAAAACTTGCTACTCATGCTTTGAGTGTTTCGTGCTGCATATAGAAGTGGCATATTGTCTATATGCACAAACTAAAGCTGACTATCTTTGTCTACACCGTAAAGCCGGGTCAATGTCCCATACCGGAGTCGATTCCGCTGTGTGCTGAAAGCTGTTTCCATGATGGCGAGTGTCCTGCCACACAGAAATGTTGCCCAACCACCGGTGGCTTTGCATGCAGTGAACCACGTGGTCAGGGAAGAGGTCAGGCAAGTTGCCAGGGAAGCGGCCAGGGCCAGGGAAGCGGCCAGGGAAGCGGTCAAGGCCAGGGCCAGGGAAGCGGTCAAGGC